GTCCACTTCTGAGTAGCCATAGGCCAGCATTTCATTCACTCCCAATGAGGATCTTGTAATGAGTGTAGTTATTGGAAGACAGGATTTTCATAGCAACATGGATTCCAAACCACTGTGGGAGTCCTTCATTTTCCTCATTAACAACATTTTTGGTATCAAAGGCAAGGAATGAAGAGACTGTCAAGAAAGTCCAACTGGTCTCTGACTTGAGGTCTTTGTCTCAGGGCTCAAGTGCCTCAAGCAGGGGTCCCTACATTGAATGACATAGTCACATTCTCTCATGTCATTGTGTCCAGCTTTCTCTCTCCTCCGTCAATAAACATGTAAACATAACATTGTACAGTTCTGTTCAGGATTCTGTGCATATTTGTTTTTCAGTTCCATCTATATCTACTGTGAGAATGCCATATCAAATTTAGATGGTACTTACGAATTTGAAACAAAGGAATATTGTCCACGGAACCTTCGCCTACAAACAATTGTTTCAAAATTGAAGGCAGAGTCAGAAAGAGAAGGGGGCAGTATCCCCTGGAAGATCTATCTGGCTGAGGCAATGGAAACATCACAAGCAGACACTAGCGAGACAGACTTCTCGCAGCCTTCACTTGATTCTGACAAGCTTTACATGGCGATCGGACAACAGGATGTAATAGAAGTCGCTCATCCTTCGCCCCTCCCGGGCAGTGATGTTCCAACAACGTGCAGGTGTGTATGTTAAGACTGATCCTTCAAAATTAATGTTGGTAACAACTCAACAGAAGCTTTACTGCTAGACTCAGCATGTCCAATGGTAGATTTAAGTTTTTGCAGTGTTCTTAATTTCAGCAACAGTAGAAGTTAGGTGCTAACCTTCAGGAGTAGGTGGTCAGTCAGACCGAACTCTGGAGTTTAAGGGTATGCCACTGCAAGATGCAGGCACCTGGACTGCACATAAGACATGTACAACCAATGAAGGTTAATAATACTATTGGTAATTACTGTGGCAGAAGAATTTTTTTTTAAGTATTAAATATGATGATGCTCAGTACTTTTACATTTTTTTTTTATTATTTTTTGCATACTTTGAAGAAAGTATTTATCATTTTTTGGAATGTGTGAACCATTACTTGAAAATTTTTTTGCAGCTATTTCCGCGTGACATTCTTTATAATTGCTGAGATTTTAAGACATCTTTCAGGCAACTGCAACATTTTTCACCAGCCAAGCAATCTTAGTGTGGCTAATTCCCAGTCAGCTGTGCCAGCCACATTGGCGACTTGCTTATGATGAAGCTATCACCAGTCAGACACCATACTTGTACGAATGTCATGCAAGACTCCACATGGTTCTATCATCTCAGACAACATTCTCAAGATCAGATTGTGGCGATTGTGGCATGTTCTTACACTGTGCATATATTTCCTAATCTGTTATGCATTTTGCAAGCTGTATTTGTCGTTTTTGAAGTCATGTCCTATTTTTGTTAATGTAACAGGGAGTTTGGTTGCCCAGTTCTTCACCTGTCCCCCATAGCATCAGGACGGGCGGTGTCACGAGACGACAGACTGCGACAGATGTTCTCCTCGAAGTGCGGTGCTCTTGTTTTCGACTCGGAACTGGATGCTGTCCTTGATTCAGTACTGGGGAATTGTCGTGACAGTTTCTTATGTCTTCGTGGCGTGGCAGATTATCGTGGCGATGGATCTCGTCGCTCAGAATGGCAACCTTATGCAGCACTGGCTGCTGCTAGCGTCATGAAAGCTGTTATATGCGCTATGGACCCTCCCCAAGACAACTAAATGTCTCTTTATTTGGTATAAATTCTCTCTGCTGACAACATGGAGAAGCAGGCATACTACACTTTAGAGTAACAGAACAAGCAGAATCGCAGCGGTTTATTTTAGTAAAATATTATCGTATTATGAGGCTCGTGAACACCTGCAGTTTCTACTGTTGTAATGTTCTTGAGCTTCACCTATGTTGTATGATCTGAAACTTCAGCGGCGAATTGCACGCTCGAGTTTTAACCACGTGTCACGGGTGATAGCCCAAGGATTTTATTAATTTACATGTGTTGCAGTCACGAAGTATTTAATCCAGAAATTATTAACAATCAATGTCAGTACATTACCATAAGTTGCATGACCACTTCTTTCTTTTATATATACAAACATGCAGAACTATTTGTGTGATTCTTCCAGTCACCACTGAATAGGGTAGAATATTTGTTATTGAGATTGTGCGTGATGTTTTATCTGTCACAGTAGCGGAGTGGTACTCCTTTGTCACTGAAATTGCCATACATCATATCCCTGGCCATGTAGATGCTAATGTTGAGTCAATATATTAATTAACTATAAAATATATGCAATAATTTTATTTGTTATTATTTTGATTCTGTTTTTTAAAGCATTCACCGTACAGTGGTATCTGCTGCAGGAGGTACTTGCGGTCGATAGTTTTAGTGGCATCAGAATGAAGAATTTATATGTCCACACTTTGGCAACTTTTAGAGTCTTCCATATTTTCTCTTAATCATTTACAATGTAATATGTTGCCAGCTGTTTTCTCCAAATCTTTCAGATTCTCTAGATTTTGGGTAGTGAAAATCAGACACCTTGTAGGGGCTGTACGGATATCCACAGCTGCTTTTGTGTGAAGGTGCACTATGTTAGCTATTCATTGTGGCATCTGACTTGATGCAGTATACAGCTGTGATGCTGTGTTACGAGTTCTTGAAGCCTATTGGTGAAATGTAGCAGGAGTTTGTACAGATATTCGCTGTCTCCATGAGGTTACTTTGTCAGGCATTTTCTCTTGGCCTTTGTTTAGAAGTTAATTGCCTGATAACATTTATCACATGTCAAGAGTACTGTTGGGGACAGTCATCCGGCCATGTTTCTTGTAGTATACTTTACAGGTAGAGGCAGATTCAAAGTTGGTAGTCGTGATGTCCGCGTCTGTGCAAGAGCCCAGATAGTTCTTGAACTAAATTGCCCAAGTCATGAAAAACTCCATTATAATGGATGACAGTCAGGACATTTGGAAGTCAGCAAAGTGATATGACAACACAATGCCTGTGAGATCGAATTTGCACTGTATAAAAAGTCAGCTTTTTCTGATTCAAATTTGTAAATACCAAGTGCGAGTAAAGTAAATACATTGTCCTTTGTTAGTTTGTGAAGAGTCCCACAGTTGTGCATTGTTGTTATATTTTTTTTTATATTTCTTATTCTTCTTGGTTTTGGTGCTTCCTTGTGAATATCTCAGAGTCTTTGTTAGCATCAGGCAGGTGAATAGTTTCTTCTTCCTCGAGGGTTTGAATCTGTTCAGAATCTGTAATGCAGTCATCATGATTCTCATTACAGAAAGGGTAATGTAACTTTTCCCTATTGAATTCATATGTGTAACAGAAGAATGCCAGTGCAGCTGCTTGAGAAATAACATGTTGCTGTATTTCCATATTACTAGTTAAAAAGTAGGTGTTAATTTTTCCAGTATAAATGGATCCTTATTTTTGATTGTGGATGTTTTAGCACCTTCCAATATTAATTTTGTGGAATCTAAATCATCTCCCAGAGACCGACGTGTGCAAAGCGTGATTTGATAAAAAAAATACGCTATCTTTTACAGTACATGTGAAAAGTGGTATATGTTCTTCGAAAAATTTGGCAAAGTACGGTTTTCCACACATTGTTCTTCCTACCAGAACAGAAATTTTCTGGATGCAATTGGAAAAGTCAGCTAACTAGATCTGTCACGTACTTGATTGTTGTTGAGGAATTTTGGATGTGTTTTGATAAATTATTTTTGTTTATGATCTTGTATGTTTTTTTGACAGTTTCCACCAAAACTTGTTGAGGTGTTTATTTGCCTATTTGTTTATAAATAATGGGAAATTGTGTCTTTTCAGGGAGTCATATAACGTGTCTGTCGTAATAATTTTCTTGCAACGATCCTGCTTGTAAAGCTACCAAATTATTGTCATGACCTGCAGCTGACCTCTTTTAATTATGTCTCATTTTTTAATTTATTGCTTATATTGTATGCAGTTATAATACGGATTATGCAGATGACTGACGTAGTTATTTTGATAGTAATGGTATCAGTGCAGGTTGAAAATTAAAGAATGAAAAATATGTACTGGGTAAGTCCAGATGTTAGGGATTTGTAGAAGTAAATGTGTGTGTTGATGTGCGATAGAATCAAGGTAGAAGTGTCTTGGCTTGGTATTTATTATTTATTTTCTAAAGACAGGTACATTGATTTTATATCATTGACCTCTTGGCTTGGTATAATTACTTCATCTCGTAGAGATTCGGTCAGTTTAATATTTTGTGGTGGCAAACTCTAATACAGTTAGCTGCTCATATAAATGCATACCTTTCTCATATAAGTGCTTATTTTTAAACAAGGATGGTAATGTTTTATTAAGGAGTATTGAAAAGGAAAAGTGCAATTACAATATGTGTAAAGAAGTTATCATTGAAAACTGTAAATGATGTATACTCTTCTGTAGTTATGTAGAAAGTAGCATTCTGTTGCTTTATTTATGTGAATTTTTTGACACTGTCTCAGTTTGGTAGGGTATGTAGCATGAAAGGATGATTTTAAGTGGTGAATTGGGAAGGCAGTGGAAAGATTCTCCTATTATCTGTTTTAAGGTTCTGTTGTAGAATCTGCCTGGTGAGTCTGAGGAAAGTAGAATACCCTTTAGAGGTTGAACTCTGAGCAGCAAGCCTGGTATCAGATGACCCGCATATTCAGTATGTTAAAATTTCATTTGCTTCATCCAGATGTTGTTAAAGTATCAGTTTTTAGAATAGGAAAATATGAAAAGTTATGTCTATTCCATTTATTCAGTTATATCTTAACCTTGCAGCTGTCTGTATTAGAGTTTCCGCTAAAGAATTATAACCTGTAATTCAGTATGGGTGAAGATTTTGTTTTCTGAACACTGGTCCAAACGGGGTGATTAAATGCATTACTTTAATGTTTACCAGTGCCTTGAAAAGGAAGGAATGAAACCTTTCCATAACTGGTGGAATGTACACTGAACGTGTTGTGTGTTCATTGTAAATACATATTGATAGAATTACTAATTTTATTATATCTGTATGTTGTGTTGCATCCTCGGTGTAATCGGATGTGAGCGCATATATGTAACATACAGGTTGTCATAACAGGGTGAAGCATAGCATGTAATTGCCAAGAAGGCCTATAATATTGAATAGTATAAAGGTAATGCACTGCTAATAATTGAGATGGTCAAATGGGTTGCAAGAAAAATGTACATTTAATCCCAGAACTAATATATGATACTTCCAAATGTGTGTACAGATAGCAGGGAGTCTTGCTGATCTATTTTCGATATATTTGAATATAGGCTATGTGAGCTGTTTTTTAAGTCAAGCCAGCTTGTTGGAAAGTATTTAACTATTTTTTTATGCTGTTGAAACATGTTATGCCATGAACAAGTGAAGTGGTACATCAAGTGAGAGCTTCATTAAATGTATTTACATGACAAAAGTAGTTAAAATTGTTCATTTCTTCAAGTCCCGTGTTACTTCACTTGGCAAGGCTGTAAGTAATAATTCTGAAATATGTATCTGTGTCCTTGTCGATGGTCACACGCGGTGATAATGTATATTGTTATGCATAATGTTTATAAGAAACTAATATTTATACCAAGCCAACGAGTAAAATTCTTGATACATGCCTCATGTCAACACTAGTAACAGAAAAACTGCACTTATGAGAAAGTATAATTGGTACAGTGCTTAACATCTTGTAGTAGCTCACATATCAACTGATTTGCTTGTATAGTGGCACCTGGACGTTTATCACCAAGAATACATCTAACTGCAGAGATTGAGTAGTGTCATCTGAGATTTGGTGAAAAGTGCAACTGGAATATGTTTTCTGTTTCTGAACTTAAAACAGAATTATTATTCTAGTGTTGTGGCTTTTGTACAGTGCTGTACAGTGGTCAAAACACATTCCAGATGCGCTGTTTCCATATTTGTACTTTGTGAGGTATCACAGTAATTTATGTGATTATAGACCCTTAAGTTTTAAGAAATTTTATTAGGAGGGATATTGAGGTTATTTGTCCTTATATATCATCAGCCTAAGAAATTTTATTAGGAGGGATACTGATGTTATTTGTCCTTATATATCATCAGCCTTGTGAAAGGAAGGCTGTACCTTTCGTGCTTTGTGTTCACAAGTATTGCTATGAATTTTTAATCATCTGGTTCAAATTGTGGTCATGCTTGCTTGTTTGTGTTTGGATTGCAGTGGTGTACTGAATTTGCTATGTGACTTCTGTGACAAAGGTGAGACATCAGCTTTGATGTGATTTGTGGATGTTTTAAGTCTTGCCTTGACATGATACTTTATGTTTTCTTGTGACTTCTCTTACAGCAAACATTATTTTGTGTGGGGCTTGGTGGTCTTAGGTTGAAACACCAGACACTCATTGACAGAATTGTGCATGTTTTTCTGAAGTCCAAACTGTGATTAAGTGTTAAAATGTAGGATTTGAGGTTTTCACAGTGGTGAATCTGAAGATTGCTGTCTTCTGGGTTATTGCCCCGTGTAGTCTGGTAGATATCCACCGACATTTCAGAGGTATTCATCGCCCTGATGACTACACGGCGCAATAACCTAGAAGACGGCAATCTGTAAGTGTTAAAATGCTTGCCAAATTTCTCTAAACATTGATAGAAATGTAAGTAAACCATTTTGAATTTCTGGGTACATATTTCAGAGTTGTTATATTAAATCACTAATTGTTTTTGTTGTAACAAGCTCTGAATGCTTTGGTTTTATAATTAATTGATTTCCCCCTTTCTTTTACAAGGCTGGTGGTTCTGAAGTTAATGTTATGCATTTACTATCTTGCCATATTTATTTTTATGTAATATTGTATGCTTTTTTTTTAGCACGTTGGTAATATGTAAAGTCTGTCTGTTCTATGAAGGGACCCTGTCTGTGCCTTTGCAGTGTGTGCCACAGATTCCAACATAGAATACACAGAGTATATGCGTCTTTCCTGCAAATGAAAAGGCTGGTGCATGAACAAAGACGTATCTTGTTTCCCTAAAAAAACAAAAGACATAATTGCATATGCTTGTGCCTTCTACATGTTTGTTTAGTTGAGGTGCTCAATGTGAATCTAACAGGAAGTTAATGATATTCAGTCTGGAATTAAACTTGGAAACTGATCGTATGGAAAACAATTACTTCGAACAGTTGCCACAAATTTCATAGTAATTGAAATTTACTTTTCCTGATGTGTAATCTTTATGATAAGTTTTTCAAAACAATGAGTCCCTACCATGGTGGGTGGTTTATAATATGAAAAAAAAAGTATATTAATTTGACTTGTCCTGTGTTGTTACTGTTTTTTGTCTTATAATTTTACCATCTAACAAGAGCTGTTTTTGATAGTTCTGCCACGATATGTCTTGGCCCTCGACCATAGTCAGCGGCATAAACAAAATCATACACATATCTGCCTTTAATTGCTATCAGTTATTGTATTTATAGATGAACTGAAAATCTCTGGTACCTCTAGTATGAACATTTGACAGCTGTTTTGAAGTTTCTTGAAAGAATTGGCATTGAGGTTTGTTGATGGGTAGAGAGAAATGTTACCATAAATCATAATACATGATAGTGACTGTGAAATCCACAACAAATTCTTAATCTGTAATTTGAAGCTTGATGTCTGAACTGAATGTACTTGAGAATGGAATGTGAAGCCACGAGCTGCATAAGGTATAACTAGTCTTTTAATATTTTGTTATATTTTGTGATGTTTTATTTTTGTATTTGTCCAAGGAAAAAGAAGGGTTGAAAACTGAGTGGAAAATGTTGTGTTAGAAGGAATTAGAAATTATTATTTATTAAATTAACATTATACAATATATAAGCTTTTAAGTGTTCATGAGTACTGTGTGCTAAATTGGTGAGTCACAATTAACCCATATTTATTTGTGTTTCATAATTTGGAAATGAACTTTTTTAGTTCTTGTGAGACAAACTGTCTTTATTAATAATGGTGCAAGGCATTGGCTGGAACAGATAGCCCCAAGAGATCAGCAAGTCCTCATGCTCCGTGGTATGTGCTTGAATATAAAAACTCGCAACTTCTATCATGACACGCTGCTGTTCTGTTTCGTTTGCAGGCAGCGCTATAGTCTCTGTTCCTGTGATGCCGTTTTCATGTCCAAGTATAAAAAGCTGTATTTAATATCTTCCTCTGAAATAACATTTCCCATTCAGTCATGTTTCATTTTATGTTTAGCTGAGACTTCATCATGAGCGACAATGGACTGATCATTCCTCTAAGAAGTGGACAGCTTTCTAAGGGATAATTAGTCACTTAAAGATAACTTTATTCAAGTATTGGGGAAATGGGGTGTTAGTAGTTACTATTATTACATCTGGTCTTGTTTTTATTACAGTTTGTTCAGATTTTATTTTATTATTAATAATAACAGCTTATATTTATTAATGTTGTTTTAAAATACTGTCATTTTTTTGCATCACTGTTTTTGTAATACATTTGTGGACTTAGTTATAGTTACTTTGGTTTTTAGTTGATAGACTGACTGCTTTCACATTACTTCTAGTTTTGTAAGTTGTTTATTTTGATGGCCAGTCTGTCGCTTTGTATCCGAGATGAAGTGTGTCGGTTTTGAGACTTGGTTGTGATGCTGTATTTCTGTCTGGGAGCTTCATATCTGCACAGGATTTGTAACACTTATGCTAGAAGTAAGGAATGTATCCAGGTTTGTAGCTGGAAGGCCTCATTTTTGAAAGGCCATTTGGTAGATGAGGTGAGATGGGAATAGTCTTAGGATAGTAGGTTCTTAAAGATGTTAACTGAATTGAACAAATTTAGGATAGTATTGAGCGCTATGCTTTTGTGGTGATAATGATAAATCTTTGAGTCATGTGATGAGAGGTGATTTTCTTTTAACACCCGCTCAAGAAAGGCCTTACACAGAATGTGGTACAAATGAGTAGGTTACCACGTGTTGGTTTGTAGATAAACTTTCTGATAACCAGTAGCATTTGAGTTTTTCACAGTGGTGAGTTCTGGGTTGTAGTGCTGTGTAGTCTGGTAGACCAACATTTCAGAGGTCCTTGCTGTCTCCATCATCAGGGCAGTGGGTTATCGTCCTGTTGATGGAAGTGCAGCAACCCAGAAGACATCCATCTTCTGCTAACTACACTGAACACATTATTGTCACAGGTTGAAAAATATGGCAGAACAAAGCCATCTTGTGTGTCCACAAATGTACGTATGTGCTGCATTGAGAATTGTAGGCCTTGTGGTTAATTTGATATGTTTCTTTAGAGTTGAGTATAATTGAGTACTAATTTCATTACAGGTGTACATGATTTAGATTGTATTTAAAAAATATTTATATATTAATTACATATTCCAAGGGCAACTAATGTTAGAATCTCCATTGACATGCTAGTCAGGTGCTGCTTGTTTTGTGCATGCACCAGCAGAATGCAACGAAACCAGTCATGAGGCTGACAGTTGGTGCTGTCATGACGTATTGTTGATTGGTGTCGCTATTACAAATTGTTTGGTCTATTGTATTTTCATATATTTCCTTGTCTACAATAATTGAAATGATCATGTCATTTGTGTGTTCAGTACTGTCTTATTTCTCGATGATAATGAATGAAGTGTGTTTATTGGATGGTAAATTTGTTGGAATGTGCTGAAAAGTTATGTATCAAAAATTCTTTCTGAATCTTCTTCTTTGAATGTGATGGTGTTTTGTTACATAGGAAATGTCTTGATTTATGCAGTTAGTGTTCCGAAAGCACACTGGGCCTTGTAGTGTCTGCATAATTTCTTTGTATTATTTTATGACCATTTCTTCATCATACAATGTTTCCCTGTTCTCCCTCCCCCTCAGTAGCAGCAAACCTGAATATCGCCTGCTGTTTTACATTTCCTAGTGCTCAAATGTTCTAAGTTAATGGTGGTAATATGTTGTGATTCAAAAAGATTCATGCTATATTTAATAATTTAATATTCCTTTCATTATGTGTGATCTTGTATGTTTGTTAATATGTTGCTTTTAGATTGTGTATTTATTTTGAAAGACTGCCTTTATTTCTCACGTACTGTACTTTTCTGCTGTTGATTTGGACTATTTGTTTTGATTGAATTTGTTGTTTTCTAATTCAGATTATCATTAGTGAGTACTGATTGCTTGATATATCAAATACTATGCAGACAAGGCATAATCAGTATTTGAAATGGAAAATTTCTGTAGGGCTGAATTTAATGAAACTAGGTAAATATAAATTAGTGGAATGCCAAATTCCATTATCATGTGAAGTAAATAAGTATAATTTTCACACAAACAATTTATAATTAATGTTGAGATTGGAAGAAGTATGGTACAGTTTCCCAGACTATTTAGAGCTTTGTAGAGTTTTTCCAAAAAAATTATCTAGTGACCTTTGGCATACCTTGGATTGTGTGTAAGCTATGGCATGCAGTTCATCAGCATGTCCTGACACATAATATACATTTGAACTTCCATAAGAAGCACTGAAATATGTTTAATGTTTTCAAATATACTGAAGAGGTCATAAATATATTTTAGTGGCATTTAAGGTGGAAGAGTATCGGCAAGGGATTGGTATTTGAGGCGATATTTGTGGTTGAAATAAGTTCCTGCAAATTTTTATTTCAAATATTGAATGTGATGTTGCATTGTTTTAATTTCTTATCTGATTCAATAAGAAGTCAATATATATTATTTTGCCTGGCATTTACATTTTAACATCGTCTCACATATTTCTGTTATGTGAAAATCTTTGGGATTCTAGCAGTACATAAAATACTTAAACTGGGTAGCACTAGTGCAAACATACTCATGCTCACATATGAGGTGCTACTTCATTCTCTTGCTTATATGTGAATTATGTTTCAATTGGTATATGTAGATAATGCAAAAGATTTAGCTTTAATGGAGTAAGCGGTATATATTTTAAGCCCATTTTAGGTGCAAAACAGTGCAGATCATAATAAATATGAACGGAAGTTGAACATTATTTTGTTGTCTTATTTAAATTAGTGCTTCTTCAGTGGCATACCCAGGAGGTAAGCAATGGTGTCTGTGTGACCAGGATCTTGGTCTTTGTTGGCATGGAAGAATAATTTGATTATGCAATTTAGAAGTATAGCTAGATTGTGAAAATGGTTGTAATACTATACTTTCGTTTACTACTCTTGGCGGTCTTGCAATGTAGACCAGTGGGTTAAAAACAGACTGTACACATCTTATCACCCAAACAATGTTCAGCAACAAGTACAAAATTTTAACCTCCTCATTATTCATCCTCCTGATATAATCTCTTACATTCAAGCATTCACTCTAAGATGAGAGACCAAATTTCACAATCATACAAAACAATGTGAAATTAGAGACTTGTAAAAATCAAAGATCAGGGATGTTGAGATGGTTTGGGCATGGGTGCGCTCCAGAGCTGGTCTGAATGCAGAGGCTAAAAGAAAATACTTTTCCCTTGTCGGGTTCAAACCCCGATCGTCCAGTCCCGTAGTCAGTTTATACTGACTGAGCCACCCGAATCTGTGTTGATAACCAAATGAAGTTTTGTAGTTCCGTCTACTGAGAGCACTTTTAGGTACAGGTTATCTACCTTTGTCATCTGTGGTTCTGTATAGTTTATTAGATTATCTATGGCGCAGTGCTCTATTATCACAGGTCCGTGAATTGAGGGGCGGAGTGTATGACAATAATGTAGTCAACGCAGGTTACGAATTTAGACGAGAAGTGAGTGAGACGATTGAAATGATTCGTCGGACAGAGGAAGCTGTGTCAAAACAGGTTGTTGAAACTTCAGATATTTTGAATGTACACAACGGTGCCATAAATAATATGGTTGATGTTCGAGCATGCAATAAACCAGTAGAGAGGGTGAGTTTAATGCATTTACTTGTAAAATGTGTGAACTTCGTTGTATGAAAGTAGGCGTGTGCTGTCATGCGGACGACAGGTTCGGCATTACTTCGTTGTGTTGCTTTTGGTGTATTAAGAATATAATTTTATTATGATGTATGGTTTTTATACAGCTTGCAACATGGACAGTTAAGTAATGCAGGGTGAGTGACTAGATATGGAGTGTAAAAGAGTAAGAATGCCACAATGCTTTTTATAAACGCGTTGTTTTTTTTATATAAATCTGTCTTGCGTTTGCAGTGTTTCAGATGAATCGTAGAAATGTAATAGTGTGTTGGAGTTATTCAAAGTGAAGCATAACACACTTGGTTGATCAAGGTGCTGATAAGGCTATTTTAACATGGAGTTGAATATGGAACAATTGTATTGCTTTATATGGAAAAAGCTGTAGCATGGAGTGGAAACATTACAGTTCCTACTTAACCTTGCATAGAAAATAATTTATTTACATTCCTTACATCCTTCATAGGCCTAAACCATGGATATCGAATATGTCATAATACAAATACAATACAGTAAATACATAGTTTTACCAGCTGTTTACAGACATATCTGATATAATACAGCATTACTGTAATTACATCATTCTAACCATTATTACATGTAGTTATAATAACCGAGTATTATTGTTTGAAGTAAAGTGTTTACTGTGTAGAAGGAGTGAGATAAAATATGTTTTTTGGTGCTGGCTTAAATAGTTTTATGTCATTATTTAAACTTGCTATGACATGAGGAAGATTATTGTATAATTTTTCCCAGTGTAGTAAGATCCTATTTTATATTTGCTAAGGCTAGCGTTTGGCACATGAAGGTCGTGTCTGCGTCTGGTTTTTGTATTGCATACATCAGAATTTGTTTGTAGTTTTTCAATATTTTCCCCAACGAATGATAATAATGAAAATAAGAATTCACTGGCTAACAAAAAAATTTTAAATTTCTTAATAATTTCTTACAAGAGCCTCTCCTTTTAATGCCTACCATTATTCTAATGATTATCTTTTGGACAAAAAAAACTTTTTTTTGTATGTTGAATTTCCCCAGAATATTATTCCATATGATATAATGGAATGAAAGTAAACAAAGTAGATTAATTTTAAAGTTTCCACATTCGTGACTTGCAGTAATATCCTCATAGCAAAATATTTTGAACTTAGTTAAGGGTTAATGTAATCAATATGTGTTTTCCGGTTTAAGTTACTGTGAATTTATATGCCAAGAAATTTTGTTGATTCTACTTCTAAAATTGTTTCATTACTAAGCCCTATGTTCAGATTACCACAAGTTTTGTTGTTGGTACTGGAGTAATTTTGAATTCTTGTGGGTAAATTAGCTGCTGATGTTAGATTAACAGTCCGAATGATATTTTCTGTATTTTATGGAAATGTGCTTGAAATTTTTATGTTTGGATCAACTCATGGCAGGATTGAGCCAAGCAAGATGTAAAACTTGCATTCAGAAATCCACAGACTTTTGGAATAAAGAAGAATTGCCACAGCATTGGAAGGAATATGTTATTAATATTTACATCAAGGAGTTCAAAGAGGAACTCATAATGCTTACTTTCTTATCATATGGATGCGCAGTGCTGCAAGTCTTGTGTTGTTACTCTGTGTAGGTAATGCAAATTTATGGCCAAACAGAGCATTGTTAGCTCATTTTACAGTGTGCTGGTATCATGGGCAGATGAACATAGGATCCAATATTAGTTGAGTATGCGTCGTGAGGTTGTGTAATTGTTAATAATTATGACATTTATCACATTGTCTCCGCAAGTCTTTCAGCAGATTAATGAGTTGTCAAGCCACAGAAACAAAGTACTTAGGCATATCAGTCGGTGAAATAACGCTGAATCTACGTGAACTCATTCACCCTTTAAGAATTTCAAGGTCAATAGTAAGCCTGTAACCTTGAGATGTTTGAAAGACACTGATATTAGAAGGGCATAACTACGTGCGTCTGTATTGAAAGAACATTTTGATGATATTTTCAGTGTTTTATCAATTTTAACATTACATATCCAATGGGAAGGGAATGTATGTTGATGCAATAAAGATTTTCCAAACATTTAGATTTGTTTTATACATTGCTTTACAAGATATGTGCAGCGAAGTGGAGCAAGACATGGTAGGGAAAAATTTGGATATGGCTCGCTGATTCTGTTGTGCTTTGTGAAAGTCTTCTGCTTCAAGGTCCTTCCTGTTAGCTAAAAGTGTGAGGCCACTGCACTCTCTTGTACCGCTGCTTGTGCAGTCCCATCATCACGCTACTCGTTAACTGTTCCCACAAGAAAAGTAATGAGATGTTTAAGCATTGGTCAGGAGAGGAGGAATGAGAAAGTGAGAGATGTACGGGTTCCCAGAAACTGATTGTGATATCTCTTCATGTTTACAGCCCAGCTTCCAAGTTATTCATTGTTAAACTTTAGCAACTTTCAACAAGGGGTTTATGTTTTCTACATACATTCCTTGTGAATTCACATAGTTCATTGATCATGATGTTTGTTTATTGCACATTTATATTTGTTGAAGAAAATGTAGAACAGACAGAGAAATAATTTATGTTTCAATAAATATTAATATCATCAAAATATATTTGCGACAAAATTTGTAGTTAACAGTGAGGATTATATTTTACAGTGGTGAATCCTGGTCATAAAGTTGGGTACAAGGCTGGTAGCCCAAGAAGAATTCATTATAGTCAGTTTAGATTTCCTGTTTACACAGTGGAGGCAGTTTATAAAAAATGTATTTATTCTCTGCAAGCCTCCCATAATAAATTCAAGATGGATTGTTATAATCTTCATCTGGGACATGGTATCATGCTAGCTAAATAACAGTGGTTCTTTTAGAAGTCTTTATATAGCTTTGTGCTGTTTCTTCGTATCAAAAAAATATTTACAAATGTGCCACGTTCTGTTATCTTCTGTCTGCTGAGTATACATTTATCTGTATTTTATCTAATCTTTACATACTTGATCTGCTTTAAGAATTTTGCTGTATCTGAATTGGCCTTTGTTGGTGGCTTACTATACCACATTCAGGTAGGTTGGTTTGACAGTAATTATACTATTAGACTTTTAATTTAGAGGTATGTGGTTTGCATTTTGGCTGTGTTGCTCTTCATTTTGACTGAGGTATTTCCTGCCTTCAAATAGGCCATGACTTTGTCATTTATTTATTTGTGGTTTATTTAACAAAGCTGTCAGTAACTCAGACTGTATTGTGTAAAATGATACGATGGTTGATGAATTGGAAAGTGTGTGGTGTGAAGGGATCATGGCCTGGAGGAACTAAGGAAAACCATGAAAAACATGTCAGGATAGCTCATCTCTGGGTTAAGTTCATGACTGTCTCCTTACAGTTTTCATCTACTGAGTATTCTTGATTATATTCAGATCTCGCTGAATAGATTTGAAGATGATCATGACCAACATCTACAGAGAAGAAAATTTTACTAACTACTTCCATTGAGCTTATTCCTTCTTTGGAAGCTAATAGCTTCTCAGTAAAACAATTTCATGGCTTAAACTTCATTACTGTGTTCCCAAAATGCCTGCACCGAGTCCAATCCAGAAATATTATTTATAAGCCCAAAATAATAAACGTGGCAGGTGCAAAACATTGAGGTTATAACTGACAGATTTTATGTACACAATATGTAGTTTGGGGGGAGGGGGTTACAAAAATATTAATAAAAGAATTCTGTCTTGAGTATGATTGATCATCTGATCCTTTGCACATGAGTTCAGCACACAAACCTATCAGCCAAATTTCATGTTATTGTTGGATTATCAACTTGATTATCTAAATGTAACATTAATGACACATGATCCCATAGGACTGGAAGTGTGTGTAATAGGAACATAGACTATGAGTCCTGTCCATAGCATCTTGTTATATGCCATAAAAATTGTTTATTTTGTGGACTGTACTAGCTGTCACAGGTCCTTGGATCCTGCAACTACTGCTGTTTCACAATGCAGCCATGTATGTATGAATTAAAACCTTTGCATAATGAATATGGGTGCCACTTGATGTCTGTAACATATCCAAACAATTCTGCAGGTTTATTTGATTAGAAATTTATTAATGCACATATAACCATTCTAATTGGAGGACAATGGAACAACTTTCTAGATTTTCACTTTTGTTTTCTGTCACACAAGAATTCCATGCTGATCTTAATCCAGAGATCATGGAGTGGAAGCTTTCAATTAAAAATATTTTAACTAGCCTCGTATAAACTGCTTTTAGAGGTGCAAAGAAAACCAGTAGTTTTCTTCTTGTGTTTACTGTATACATTGCATGATTCGCTGCTTGGGTCAGGGCTGTAGCAGCTCGGGCCCTTACTATTGTCTATGAGTAAGTTAATTTCTTGTACGTTAGGTTGTTAAACTTTCAATTACCACACTTTGTCTTAGATTTGAATGATTTACATTTTACAAACCAGCAGATTGTTTTTATTTAAATGTTTCTATTCTATTTTATTTTATATTGTATTATTTTACTTTACTTTATCGTACTTCTACTATATGCTGCATTATTTTGTTACACTTCTTTTACAACTGGTAACACGCTGTTTGTAACCACGGTTCATATCACGAGAAATGCGAACAGAATTTTGGTTGAAGGGCCTGAAGATAAAAAACCACTGAGAAGACTTAGACATAAGGTAATATTAAAATGAATCTTAGGAAAATAGGGTCTGGACTGAAGATGGCTGTCATCTGGGATATTTCACCGCTTATTCTGGCAGATATTGACCAATGTTTCAGAGGTGCTTACGGCTACTGTCATCAGGGCTATGAATTCTGCTAAGTAATTTATACATATGGCAGCATTCTGTGTTTGCCTGAATGTTTGTGACAGTGCTTGCTTTGTAAAAATACTGTGTTGGGCATTGTCAGTTGTCTGAGGTTTGATATGCACAGTGTCTCAGGAATTGGCTTTACCCGTCGTTATTGACATATCTTCTGTTTTTTTTATTTTCACGTTTGTGATAATGATTTGGATTGAACCTGGGACCTTCTGAATATGATGCTTGTTGTTAGCATTCTAGCCTAGTATTCAGAGTGTTTATTAAAAGTTCCAAACAAACAAGCTGTCTTGCCTGGTATGCAGGAGGTGACATGATGTGATCTGACACAACCTTTCCTTACTAATGGCATTAAGAAAGAGGTTTGTGTCTGCCTGTGTGTAAAATGCACACGGCAGTGAGGATACAAAGAGGAGAGGTAGGAAGGAAGGTGCCTGAACAGCAACCTGCAGTTAACTTGAGATCTAGATCATCTTCCAAGATAACATTGTCCCTCTGCTGTGAGAAAGAGACCATGACAGTGTTCAGCGCAAAGTGAAAAGGCTGTAACGTTAATTTAGTACGTGTTCAGCAGCAAACTGGAATTGAGTCTCTCGTGTTTGGCATTTTCCCATTAAAGAGAATATCTAGTGTTGTGCAGAACTAGAGGTTGCTTGGATGTGTATTTGAGGTATTTGTTTTAAATTTTATTTTCATATTGGACAGTAAAGTAATATTAATTTATGCACATATTTGCATTCCTTAAATAGTGTTGCTAATGTCTCATGTCAAGGTGCTGGAAATAAATATGCAGTATGTGTGATTACTGGTGATTTTAGTGGGCCACTGTCGTTAGACAGTTGATACTTACAGAGGTTTTGGGGCAGATCTTGGTTTGTAGTGTCAGTAAGAAGAAAAGGTTTCTGGTAGCATTGTTTATTTTCTGTCAAATTCATTGTTTTTTTTATGTTTTGTGTTTTTGTGTTTGTTTTTTATTTTTACAGTTGTGATTTGATTGTCCTGTGTCTAGATGTTGCAATAAGAAAAGTACAATCAGCGTTCTTAGCTGCGGCATGACTAACTCGCAGGTAATAAAAACTGAGGAACTTAACGGGAATGTTTTGATCAGAAAGACATTTATCTCTCTTGTGAGTCATGATTGCAGATTACTAAATACGTTTATCATGTATAATAATTTGTGGAGTTTAAGTAATTTTGCCTAACGGGATCTTAAAATGCAAACATGCTAAAATATGACAAATATATTCTAGTCATAGTTTAGTAACCATATTTTCACGCCAATTCTGTCACTGCCAATACCAGGTGTATTTCTTTTCATAGTTAGGCTGTATGGTGATATCGTTCTGAATGTATTATGTGAGATTTAAGGTTCTCATGGTAGGGGTGTCAGCGTTGGTCTTCTGCGTTTCTTTTGCCGTCTGGACTTTAATGTAGGTACGAGTGTTTTGGAGGAACCTGCTTTCTCCATCTGAAGAGTAGGAAGCAGTATATGTGTACTGACCTGTGGTATCTCCTTACAAGTCCACACGGTATTACAACCCAGAAGACCAACATTGACACTGAATGTGTTAATTTTTGGTCTTTACATCTGTTGTACATATAGTCATATTTAATGTGTTATGAATACTTGAATTCTAGTATCAAATGTAAAGAACATGTTGAAATGGTAGTGCAGTCTTCATGCTAAACTGAAGAAAAAATCTTACGAAAGATAATTCTTATATGTTTGTACTGATATTCATGAATATGGGGGGGGGGGTTTGTTACGTAGGATGCTGTTCTTATAATATTTATATTCCCAGCTCTGGTGGCGTGGAGTCCGGAGCTCCAAGTTCCGTCATGTGTACGGGCGCCCAGCTAAACGTGAAGGCTGCTACGAAAATATCAAGATCACAAAGAACGCGCATGACTCTCACTTCTGTGCTGCCAATCCCAAGTTTGTCGCTGTTGTCACAGAAGTTGCTGGTGGAGGAACATTTCTTGTCCTTCCCATTCACTGTGTAAGTGTTGCACGTGTTTACTGAGATTCGATGAGGGCATTGGAACTAGCTGGAACTTACTGTATGAAGTCCCTGCCATTATGGATTTGTCTGTAGTTGAGAGCTACTTTCTTGTGTTCATTGTCTTCACAACACCATTACAACTTTCTTCCCTTAGTCTTATTGGTTGAACACTGTATTATATGTTATATTCTTCTGTTTGCTCAAGTGTGCATAGTATTTTTATTTTTTGTAACTATTAATATTCGCATGTACTTTTCTTGTTGTATCGCAGACAGGGAGGCTAGATTTCAATGCGAGTCGAGTAACGGGACATAGGGGCCCTGTTTTGGATGTGAAGTGGAACCCTTTCAATGACAACATTATTGCTTCATGTTCAGATGATTGCACAGTAAGTACAGGATGATTCACACACACAAACACACCCTTGATGACATCGTATGTACAGCACACTTCAGAACGGAAACTGTCGCGCACACAAGGCAAAGCACTGATATGTGTTTATCATTCCTATACTATGAAACTTTAACATCATTCACATACTTCCCTGATTTAAAGTGAGTGTTAACGTTAACCATTCATTACGTGTAAGCCGTGGAAAATCAGCCTTTAAAGAGACTTCTGGACAAATGAACCTGGAACAGACCGACAAGTGGCCTAACTTTTGACTGGTGCGTGAAGACAACAGAAGTTCAAGGCATTAGGTAGTACCACTTATCAACCCTAAAGTTGGAGGCAGCATGTTTACCTGGAATGTTGGTATACAACAAGAAAGCTGCACTGTAAACTTGCACCCCTGTGGATACTTTGGTTCCGGCATATCATGATACTTGGACGCGTGATACCTTGTTTTGCTCAGTTGTTTAGCCTGTGGTCAGGGCTGTCATTGTCACAGAATCTACACAGTTATGATGTGTGTGCAGGCTAATAAGAGGGGAGTGCAGAACTTTTGTTACCTGCTGTACTTGTTCCAGATCAAACTATGGTACATTCCTGATGGAGGACTGGCAACTCATCTGTCAGAGTGGCTCATTGACCTTCACGGGCATAAACGTCGTGTCGGTTACATTGAGTGGCACCCGACAGCAGAGAATATCTTAGTCAGTGCAGGGTTTGACCATTTGGTAATTAAAATTGTCAGATTGTGATCATTGGCTGCATGTAGTTAGACTGTGATAAATTTACGTGGTCCACCATGCATTGTCTTTATATTATGTTTCAGATGATAGTTTGGGATGTCGGTTGTGGTGAAGCAGTGAATGTGATCGACTGTCATCCAGACGTCATCTATTCTATGTCATTTAACCGTGATGGTTCACTTATAGCGACCACCTGCAAAGACAAGAAACTGAGAGTTATTGAACCGCGTCGAGGCATTGTTCTGTCAGTAAGTCATAATTTTTGTGTGAATTTTATAATATTGGAACGCTGTTACATCACCCAGTACCTGAGGCCAACATTTACCAATGTAATATAACAATGGTAGGGTTAATATTGTTAGCAGGCCTCGCAGAATATTGCAGGTAGGCATTTAAAGGTACAGCATTGATCTTATTCATAATTGCTGTGAGAGGTAATGATGCGCTTTGTGTTGATGCTGTGTTTTTCTGTGTGCAGGAAGGAGTGTGTCACGCAGGAACAAAGGCATGCAAAGTGGTGTTCCTTGGTAACACTGGTCGTATGTTGACTACCGGATTTTCTCGCCACTCAGATCGGCAGTATGCTGTATGGAATCAGAGTGATATCTCAACTCCGTTGTGTACGGAAACTATCGACTGCTCCTCCGGAATTCTCTTCCCTTACTATGATCACGACACTCATATAGTGTTCCTTGCAGGGAAGGTGAGTTCGGTGTTGCGGTGAAGTCCGAGCATGCCCCATTTGCAAAGGTGCAGATTCTGGTGAATGTCGTAAAACTATTATGCTTTGTGTACATTTTCTGACTTGGTTCTTCTGTATGAATACCCCCATATTTGTCACGTCTCTGTTTTGAGTTTAAAAAATGTGTGTAAATTAGGGAAAATTGTATTAATAAATGTATTTATGAGTGTAGAGGTAAAGGGCTACACATTACTTATTATTGTTGAAGATCGTTGGGAGTGAAAGATGTTTTTCGTCGTGCCCATCTGTGTCATTCATTTTGGCTTGTCACACATTGTGTTTGTAGGGGGATGGCAACATACGGTACTACGAGGTGGTGGACCAGGCTCCATGGCTGCACTACTTGAACCAGTTCCTGTCTGGCTCTCCTCAGGTACACTTTTGCCATGTTTGGAAATATATTGCGCTGTCATTTGTCTGTGCTCTTAATGGGTAAATAAACTTTTGGTGAACATGTGTAGATTCTGAAACTGGTAACAAAAATTTTTAAATGTCAAACTAGTGGAATAACATAACTATACAGATGGAAATGTTCTGTTTTTTGTTTTTAATATAATTTTCACTTTTAGGACCAGTAGTAACCATATTTACCACTAGCTTCAGCAGTTGGCAACTCTGCATTTTGATTACAAAATTGTGTTTATGTGTTTTATATTGTTCTTAGACCAAATGGTGATCATTTCCTTAAATGGCATTAAGTGATTGATTTTTGTTGTGTGAAGTGTTTCCTTTGCAGTATGGACTTGATCCTTAAATATTATTTAGGCAAGCTTTGACTCTAGAAGGTCAATAACCCAACTAGGACTGTTACTTAAGAAGACAGGACTTGAGGAACTTTCATACAGTCTAAGTGAAATAGTGTTTACTAGAGTATCCTTGGTAAATTCCTTATAATGCCTATCATCAAAGATTGGTTACATCTCAGAACGTAAAGAAAATTTTACAATTATTGGCCTCACTTCTTTGTCTTAGTGAGTGCTACACATTATTTTCACAAAATGATTACGTGTATTTTAGATGTGTTAAAAGACTTTTGTAGTTTTGTGATGTAAGAATTTTGTGTACAGAGCTTGTGTGTCCTTAAATGTGCACGTGATCTTTTGGGCAGAGTTTCCCTTACAGGTCTTTGATTTAAAAAGAGGTTCATGACATACCATCAGCATTGTGAGAAAGCTTTCATTACAGGAAGAGAACATTTCAAAAGGCACTATAGCATTTAAAGGGCTTATGTGTGTTTTGGCCAGAATTTGTTTTCAAAATAATATTTCGTATTGAAAGGACTGCTGTTTGTGTCAACAACATAGTTATTTTGTGATATGTGATAAAATTATTTTTAATTATTTTGTTGCTTTTCGACCAATAATTTTAAACTCCAAAGTCTAATGTAATCATAGAATCAGTATATTTCAGAAATATAACTAAAATAATGACATTACCTTCTCAAAAATAATAAAAAGAGATACATCTATTTCTTTAATTTCAGTTGACATGTCAAAATTTTGAATCATCGTGGATGACTGGATTTTTCAAGCCCTGGTCAAACTTTACCTCAGGTTCACCCCAGGTACACAGCTTTGCATTTGGTTTGAGGTGTGTTGGTCTCCTCTTGCAGGGCATGTTTCTGCTTTGTCTCATTTTCCTTGCAAACTTTTCGAGGATTGCAGTTTTATTGAGTGGTGTGCATATGTATATGAAACATAGACCACATATGTTATGTGGGTAAAAACAAACTTTGCGAGATTTTATGTGCATGTCCTGCAGTTACAGAATGACAAGATTGAACATGTGAGATTTGGGGCTTTCGTGGTGGCATGGTGGTGAGTTCAGAGATGGCTGTCTTCTGGGTTGTAGCGTCGTATAGACTGGTAGAAATTTACCATTGTTTCAGAAGTCCGTGCTGAGTCCATCATCAGGGCGATCGCCTGATGATGGGTTTGCTTAATTTTTAAGTTCTCCAAGAAGCTCTGTGCTCCATGAAATTAGTTACAAGATTTAAACATTCTGCATACAGGTGCAGAACGTCATGTAATGTTATGTTTGCTTCCTGTCACATGTTATCTCAATACTTTCCCTTTGCAGCGAGGACTGGGCTTCATGCCAAAGAGAGGCTGTGATGCTACACAGTGTGAAATTTTTCGTTTCTACAAACTCCATGCTACCAAGGGCATGTGTGAGCCCATTTCCATGATTGTTCCTCGGAAGGTGAGGTGCACTGTCTTGTGTAGATGATTAATTCCTCTCTGCAATTTTTCTCAAATACCTGGTGCTGTATATTCTACGATGTTCTGTGCCTCTTAGCTCCTGTGATCCTTGAAAAACTACAGACGTGGAATACAGAGAAAAATGTCATTTGCTTGGTAATTAATTTTTTTAAAAAAGGTGCATTGGTGATCACACTAGCTGGCATGAGTTATTCTGAATGATCAAAACAAGTGCAACTGTATTTTACATAATTTTGTAAAAATGTTTGATGGAAAAGAAGTACTTTTGTGCAAGTCCTAAGAATCCATTCATTCTGAATGCCAGAATAATTCAGTGAAGTTTACAACCTACTGTTGTGTGTTACAGAGTGATACATTTCAGGAAGACTTGTTTCCAGATACAGCCGCCCCAACACCAGCTGTCTCAGCTCGTGATTGGATAAATGGGAGGAACTGTAACCCAGTTCTCATGTCTATGAATACAGGTAAAGAAATCCTAACCTGAAAAAGCTTACAGTAACCCATTTGTTCACCAACGTGTTACCTTCTCTGAGTTGTGCTTTATCATTTTAATGAATGGTTATGAAGTAGGCACATTATGGTGAGGTAAAGTATGTCTATCCACATATTGTATCTCCCAAACCATTCTTTAATTGTTTATATTTGGTTTGTATTTTTTCCACTGTAACCTTTCAGTTTAAACTCATACGTACTAAAAGCCGTCCAGAGTTGTTCATTGTGTGAATGTGGTTATGTCACATGAAATATCAAGACCTTTGTATGGTTAAGATTGTGAACTACACATTGTTTCTTGTTCTGCCAGCAGGTGTGGCTGTCCGAACACACAAACCACATTCTCCTCCCACTTTGGTTGCTCCGCTAGCAACGCTTCCTACAATCAACAACAATATCAAGAAATTCGCTTTCCTGTCTCATGAAACGGTGCCTGATTATCGTCCCCGTGATAACGTAAGTTCTTGATTCTGCTAAGTCTGTAATTGGAACTTTTGTCATGTTTATTGCAAGGAGTAAAATTATAATTCTGTGTTGTTGTCTTTCAGAGTGAAATTTGGTCTTTTACACAAAGTAATGTAGATTTAGGGTGTTTCAGAAGAAAATCCCTTGACAGGTATTTGTAACTACAGGAGTGGACGTACCAGAGGAATGCAAAATATTACATAAGGAGTGTGACAAAATGTAGATATTTTGTAGTGCCTAAACATATTGGTACACTTATAACCTAGAACTAAGAGGACTAGAAAGCTTTATATGGAATACTGGGCCGTTAAGTGTAAGTTTGTCTGCAGTGTTTGGTCCTGAATGTTGTCTTTGTGTCCACAGGTGCAAGTGTTACCTCTGCCACTTTCAGAGAAGAGCCAGAAGACAAGCAGCAACCAGACCACCAAGTTTCAGCAGATACAGCAGCTCTTTGGACAGGTGAGTTCTCAGTCCCACCATAATGCTCCAGCAACCTGGATGGGCCTCACAGACATTTTAAACATGGTGGTTATGAGAATATTCTGATTGCTCCTACCAGGAATTGAACCTTGGCCATCCAAGCCATAGACCGTTGGTTTAGCTACTGGCCATCAAGGTTTGTTCACACTGGGAGGAAAAGTATTTGTTTTCTCCTGTTGACTGTGTGTCTGCTCTCGAATATCACGCTTGTCATTTTGCATACAGATATTGTGCATTCTGTGCACAAGTTGCGTAGGACGTAGTGCATTCATGCTTTCATCTTCTAAGTTGCTGGTTGTCTACATTTAAAGATGTCGGCTGAATTCTTTAAAGGGGTGGTTCTATCCACGCCTCTTTATGGGTCAGAACTCGTGACTCCCAACTATTTTCATTCAATGAGGAAATGGCACAGATGTGATGCACGTTTTATTTCAGCCTGCCATCATAGCAAGCGATGAATACAAGCGAGGCGAACGGACTGAGCAGCTGGTTGACAGTCCCAAGACTGAGTTCCAGGTAAGAGGGTACACAGTAAATAATAGCAAATAAATAAACCACACTGAGAAAGTTCTAAGTAGTTGAGATAAGCTGTGACTGCTGCTTCTTCCTTCCATTTCATCTCTGAAAATCATTGTGTCTTATCTAACCCTAACATCTGATATATCATCATGCTGTGAACTGGGGGGAACTTTCAAACATAGCAATATGATTTAAGGATTCCACTGTGCAATGATTGACTTCCTGTAATTTCCAGTCAGTAATGCGATAGCGTATATTGTGGTTATTTATTGTCGTAACTCTTCTCCTGAGTTGCTTCTAGATTAAGGCTAAAATGGCCTTCATACTTATGTTCACAACTGATCGTCGGTGTTCATTCTTTGGGTTCTAATGCCATGTGGACTTGCGGGTAGGTAACATTTTCAAGGAGCATACTGCCTCCAAGATGGAGGTATTACAATGTAGAAGTTGAACATCTACATCTGTACTGCTCTAAGGACCTCAGATACCACAAAGTGGGTTTGTGTGTTTGACAGTTTAGTAACCATTGTAATAATACAAAATCTATGGTCTGGGATCAAGGATTGTGCTCTTGCGTCTCATCCTGATTTGATCTGGAAATAAGCAGGAAAGATGACGCTAGTTTATCTTGTTTCAGCTTCAGAGGGCATACTCGCAGCAGTGTGAGGAACTGAAACTTCTGAAGAAGCAGCTAGCGAACCGCGAGCGGCGAATTAGAGAACTGGAGGAGCAGGTACTGACGCTACAGCAGCAGCGCAAGTCACAGTCTGCACACAAATAATCACCATCACCAGGCAAAGTTGATGGGTCACATTTCCTCCACCCCTTTCCCTCCCAGCGCAGGACTTTTGACTGATGCTTGTTTTATGCTTAAAAATTTTGCCAGTATGAATTGTAGGTGGCAATAGTGCATTTTATGTGAATAATCACCACTTTGTCTTGAATTGGCCACGTCAAGCTGATGTTATAGCAGACCGATATAGGCTGTGTAATACTATGGAGTTTTATGTGGGAAAATTACACAGTCCCCCCCTCCCCCAGATGAAAGGAACTGTTCGTGAAGTTTGAAATCAAATCATATGGACAGCAGAACAGTCAGACAGTTTTAATTTTCTTTTATATTCAAATGACTTGTCCCTTAATCATGAAATAAATAGGACAAGATTGTTTATTTAAATGCAAATAATGTATGATGTTTATTTATGAAATATGATTAAAAATGTAGATGAGCAATGGGTGACACCCATATGATTCTGTATGTTCTGTAGAATGTTCCAGTACCCACAAAAATTGAAACAGTTCATCAAAAGATCACAGTAATGTGAGTTTCAGTAATTTTTGTGAAATAGGATTTTTTTTAGATATACAGGGACCAGCACTGCAGGGGTCATCATCATCATCATCATCATCAGGAGGGAGGGAGAGGGAGATAGATATGTCTGTTGTTTATCTTGATTTCCTCTCATTTCGTGAGCATTAAATTAATACATATTGCCAGAGCAAATTATGTACCCAAAAGCCTTGTTTCCAATTGGAAAACGTGTGTAACTCAGGATAATTTCACTATTGCCTCGTATTACGCATTTCTCTGTCATACAGAGTTCAAACAGATAAGTTAACAATTACGTATTGGCCCATGACATTTGATGTGGATTGGAATCAATCAGGTTTTATAAGAAACACATCACTGAAAGTTTCCCCTCCTTATGTAATACAATTTAATCATATTTAATGAATGAAATATTGCTGTGTATGGATTCACAGTTTTATTGTGCGCTTTCATACGTATCATGTTTACTTCTTGACAGACATGATTGTTTTAAAAATAATTTTAGGCTCTTCTGATGAAAAGTGTTTGTATTACATTCCTTATTTGCATTTTGAATCTAAGTTAAATTACATGCTTTGTTTGTTGTGTGAGTCTAGGACATTTTATACCCGTGATGAATTTCAGCATGTTATGGTGTGAAACACTGGCGGTTTTTAGAGATGCAGACATTCACACAAGTACTGGACATTGGCATGTAAAAGGCAGTCATCTTTAAGGCCCATAGCTTGTGTTGATGAATACTCATTTTGCTTCTTATAGTAAAGTTCCTAAAAAAAAGGACGCGGAAATGCTATATCACGCTTGCTTTATATCACATATTCTAAGATTCCTTACCTCCGTTTTACATGCATTTATTATTCTGGTATTTTCACTTCATTGATGATACAACTTCTCGTTCTTTGGGGCAGTGTGTGACGTGCCACTATTATACATTTCACACTTGGGTGATATTACTACTGCCCACATTAGAACATAAACATAGGGCTCTTTCCTCTGCTGTCCTCTACCCTCGTATTGCACTGAAGTGATTCGGTGTGCTTCATTGTAAAATTGTCAGGGGGAAGAGGTGCTTAGAATGATTCTGTTTTGCCATACACGTGATTGGTCGGGTGGATATGGCACGATATCTCATTTTTAGTACTCAGGAGTTGCCTTTAAGCTGTTAGGCATTTTACATGCATTTTGAAATTGTCGCAGCTGTTGAGTTTTGTGTGAATGCAGGTGCACAGCCGAGAGTCTGCTTGAAATGGTCTCATAAAGTAAACCACAGTGCAAGAGAAGTTCTGCTACACCTGATTTGTATTCTTTATTAGAAAATATTTTAAGCCTCTATAACTACATATATCCAGATGATGATAGTACGGAAAGTCTAAGTCTTTTTCAAAGAGGGTTTTTACATTACTCTGTCAGGCAAGAAGAACGTATTTGTTATAAGACGAACCACCCTGGTGAAAATGGCAATGGATAATGATGAAAATGATGCACAGGGAAGTAATTAAATTGCCTTACTTGAATGCTGCTTTTGGTTTATAAAGAATGGTTGTGTGAGATGAAGTTGCCCTTGTTTTGTGCAGGCGATCGCTACACAGCTCACTCTGTGAGAGAGAAAGTTTGCAGCTGACTCATTTTCTATAGAGGGGAGATGTGATGTGGCTAGGTGCAGGCATCCCTGCTGTCCCAGACATTGATTTGTACCAGAAATAGTAGTAATTGAACTATCAACTCCCTGTTCTCATTAGTCAATTTCATACCAAAACTGCACAATAGATTCAAAATTATATTTTGCTGTATGTGTTGTAACGTGGCTGTTATAAGTGCTGAATTGTTTTTGTGTTGTTACAACAACAGTGCCTTGTTGGTGTAAGTGTGCTTTGACAGATGCGTGGCCAGATCACTGGCTGTTGTAACTTTCTTCTTTTCCTTTCCTCAGTCATTATAAGCAAATGCCAGAATTGTACCTAGAAATAGGTCATATCCTTGATCATACAAGTTGTTCCCAACTTACCATTCATAATCATCTTCCATTTGTATCTGATGCTGTTTAACCTCTGAGGGTGAAGTATGGTTGTTAAATACCTCAAAAATAAATCAGTATATGGGGAGTAGTTGCTGGGAAGACGTGAAATAAAGTAGATCGTATGGCGTTGGACATTTAAGGCATTTCCAGTTTTCAAGGATTCATGTTTCTATGACCTTGTAGCATAAGATAAATATCAAGCAGCTGACACCAGCAACTGTTTGTACTCTGTATTGTATAGTATTTAATATTTGCTGTGTGAGAATAGGAGATTTAAATCCCTGCATTGGTATGCATCTGGCTGGACTTTAATTCTGGAGTTAACAGTTAAGTGGTATGCTGCCAGCTGAACCACGCGTATAAGTCATTACGCACAGTCGGTAAAGAAAGGTTAAGGTATCAAGATTTATAAGATGACCTGTATAATAAATCATATGAATGTAATAATATGAAGTATGTACATTAATTTAATTTTTTTTTTTTTGACAGCTGGTGAAGCTTAATTTTGAAGAAATACAATGAATGAATAAATGTGGAAAGTACTGTGAATCGCACACAAGTGTCATTTAATGGGTCACTTTCCAGCAGAACATGCCCACACCAGATTATTTTTTGTTTGGCGTTACCTCTGAATACATCAAGGAATCATTCCTAGGTTAAGGATTTCAAGTTTGTTACGTACGTAGATATTGTTTTGGTTTTAGTATACAACTCTGGAGATAATTCTGTGTTTCAAGAATGAAGAGAGTTTGCAGAAATTAATACTTGCAACGTGCTGCTAAAATATCAGAATCTAATTTTTGTTTCACATTTCCATTTGTGATATAATTTTTAATACCATTTCATGTTTGTGTATAAGCTGTTCTTTTGTTTGCTGTTGGCAGTGCTTGATCAGTAATTATATATCTTGTAATGCTTAAGACTGTGTTGTGTAACTACACAGGTGTGATGATGTAGCAAGAAATGCTGTCAGGTGATGCAGTTAACATATACATGCATATTACACTAATTAACTTTTAATATGGATAAAGAATTACAACATTACAGAATGGAGACTGTCAAGAAATGGTAGTCTCAAAATGAGGAAACTGTGTTCTGGCTTTAAGAAAATGGTGAACGAACTTCCACAGCATTCACTCTGGTTATGCCTCATGTGACCTTTGCAATTTTGTGAACAGACTTCCCATAGTTGATAATGGCAAGTCTTGATAGCGTAACATTCCAGTGAAGTAGAACAAGAAGCCAGTTTTGGTTTATGTTGCAGCCGAAATGGTGAGCCCATGGGACATGGATTTATGTTTTTTGACGTGGTACTCACAGTGCATATGTAAGCTACTGGTATTTTCAACTTTTCCTCACACAGCCAGACTGAATGCAGTGCATGGAACTTGAGTCGGTGGATATCATACGCTTTTCTTGTTTTTCTCAGAATATTATAAAATTGTTTTTTAATTATTATTATTAAATTTAATAGTAAAAGTGTCAGGCAATATGCTATCGCTCCTTAATTCCAATGTGTTCAGTTTTAGTTCAAGCTGCGTGTGACATCTGATCTAATGGCGTTGTTGATTCATTGAGGATTTAATGTTTATTCGAGCATTGTTACTGTTGAATGCATTTATTTGCTATGCTTAAATACAGTGTTTTCTAGAAACACGACACTAACGTAAGACTTGTACAATATTGCAGATAGAAGTAAGCTAATAATAAGAATAATGTATTGAAGCTTTTGTCTTATAAATATCTGAATAAGACAAACATCCATTAAAGTTTTTGTTGCTAGAGATGCTACTTCTGTTTCAGGTTCAGTAGGGGCCTAGTTCATGTCTTGGTTAGGTTTCCATCAGTCCTCCACATACAAAATACCTCCTACATGTAACAGATAGACGGATCCTCATAAGGTACTGCAGTGTTTGCACTGATGACTACACACAGAACTACCAGATAAAGTACAAAATTTTGTTTCCTCTGAATTTTACCATTCCTGTATTCCTCTGAAAGTTCTGGTATTAACTGTATAAAGTTGAACTTTATATCTGACATAAATTTGTTGAGATTTCTAAATTCATTTCATTCAGTAAGTATTACAATGTTTGGCTTACACTTGAAAGAGTCTGAACTCTGTTAAATAAAGTTTCATGTTTAATCTGAAAGGCCTATGAAATTTTCACACATGTTCCCACTTTGAGGATTCTGTCCATGATTTTGGGGATGTCCTTCAGAGGTGTAGTTATGTGGAGTCCGGTAATTTTGTAAATCTGCTTTGAGAGTACCACTGTTATGATACTTAATGCCAAAGTCATTATTGTGTTCCTTGGAATGGATAATTATAGTTTATACCATAATTGCTGCTAAAGGTGTGGGCATAATGTGATAATGATGTGAGATATATGCGTTGACAGTTGTTACTGCTGTGTGTGGCTTGTGTTTTTATTAATATTATGTGGTACTCTGCTGTTTTGTTGCTATTCTGTCACACAAATAATTTAGTTTTTAGCGTAGCTAATTGTAGTGGAAATGGGCTGGATGGTTATGTAACATGCCATGTTAAGAAAATGTACAGTGGTCTTAATTTTTAGTTTCTGACATGGAATTTTAACTTTGCTTGAGCCATTTTTTTAGTTTGACCTTGAAATTTGTTTTTAATGCCCTTCTTTTTTGTGACTAGAACTGTGTTCACTGTGTTTTAATCATTCATCTAGTGATTTGCCATTCTTGAGGCTTCAGTGACAGGATTAACATTTGTCCTCAGACAAGTGTAATTTTTAAGTATGATGGCAAATTTAAGTTACTGAAGCAAACTGAATTTATTTAGAAAAAAGACTGGTAATTGCCTATTTTCATTTGTGCTGATAACGTGAAGTTTGTTGCAGCACAGTTTCACCACTTGTTCTTTTGTGTGGAGAGGGTGAAAGTGTATTTGTAAGGGTAAGACTTCTGCTGAAATACCGAATGAGCTACCCTCATTTCTGGATGCCAGAACTTTTGTAATTTTTCTGGCATTAGTGATTGCCTCTTAGGTCATCCAGGATTTACTCCATCTGGGAAACACCTTCATTCTACAATTTTTAAACTGGCGTATGGTTAGGGATGAATCTACTGTACTTGAAAATGATTACCACGAGTGTTAGTTTGGGACATTTATGTGAATAAATATAGATTGATATTTTAACATTCTGAGAATGCAATTTGCCCATTTCCACTACTTTGAAATGTGCTGATCATGTATTCAAAGTACTGGCCTTAAAGAAATGTTATTCTGTAGATAAGATCTAAAATTATATAAAGCATTATTTTTAGATGGGAATTGCATAAATTGTGACGGCTAAACAAAACAAAGACACACTCCAGTTTTATCTTGGTGTATTATGAAAAAGTTACAATAATAAAAATATTATATGACTTGAAGCTTTCGCAGTATCTAAAAGTGTTAGAAACAGATTACTGTCTTCTGATCCAAGTACACCCAATTTTGTTCTTAGCAAAACAGAGAGTGGATTTTGAAACCACACTCCTCATTTGGTGCTCCATACCCTGTACCATATAAAAACATCCTAAAACAACCAAGCAGCTGCATCCACACCCGATTGTCCGCAGTTTCATTGCATTGCCACAGAGCTGACAAGGGACATTTTGTACTGTCCCCATTGTATGTGCTGTTCACATCTGTCTGTTGCAGGAGATATTCAGATGTACCTGGTTGTCTTCTCAGCTGAGTTTTCATATATCGTTTTAGGTGAACGCCAGTATATTTTCAGAAGAGCACAAGTATTCAAGACAAGGTAATATAATCTTTGCAGTTGATACTGACTTATTCAGTTGTGCAAGGGCTTCATAAAACATCTTATCCATTGAATAGTTTGCACCTCCTCTCTGTGATGGTGGAAGAGAATGCAGGCTTACCATTTAGTTATCTCAGTCCCTGAATACAATTTTCAAGTAGACTGTGCCTGCTTCCTTTCATAACTCTT